ACACATGCACCACCAGATCCATAAGACTGGACCTGCTGTAAGCAAAGCTGTCCTTTTTTTTTTTTCATATCTGTAGCCTATCTTATTAAATGTTGCTGTGACAAGTGAATTTTCCCATTGTGGGATTAATAAAGTTATCTATCTATCTCTATCTATCGATCTAAAAAATAATTAGTTTTGGTAGCACCTCCCTACTGATTTAATCACATCCTTGGAATTATTGTTTGTGGAGGAAACTACTTTAGAAGATGGAAACGCTTACAGTGAGTGCCTGTAAATATTCACATTACTTTGATTTTAACAAACAAAACTAGATTTTACTCGTCGGAAGTCTGAATTTTGTGGAAAATGAGCACAATTACCAAATGTGTGGGGAGTAGCAAAAAAAGTAATATAACTACTGTAGTAGTGTAACTAAATACTGTGAGCAGGGAGTAATAAGTAAAGTAACAATATTACTTTTGAAAAGAGTAATAAGTATATTATCTATATACATAATGAAACAGACTTTATACACAATTAAACATTTAAAAACTATAATTTAATAAATAATAAATCAAAATTTACATTTTATGGAATAACAAACTGACTTTTTTCAACTTTAAAGCTACTAAATGAGGAACAACTGGAGGCTTTAAGAGGTTAAAACATGACCGACTGTCCTATTCAACCATTGATTATTGATTTGAAGGGAGTTTAAACTCTTAATTTCAAGATTTAAAACATAAATAATGTCTCTTCTCAGCTATAGACTGCAGATAACTCCACATCTGTTTACATCTGGCATGTTTCTGAACAGGGATCCAGTACAACAACATCACAAACAAACCAAAAGTTTCACAATCATAATAATAATAATAATAATAATAATAATAATCTGTATTACTGTACCTTTTGTCTTGTCTCTCCCGTGCAGCACTCGTACCGGACAGCGTGAAGAAAGAGCTCCTGCAGAGAATCAGAGCGTTTCTAGCTCAACACGCCACCTTGTGAATGAGACGATTCCCGTCTAGACATTTTTTTTACTCGCCGTAGATCCACAATTTAAAATCCAAACTGATGTTTGTTCTCATTGTGAGCGACGATCAAGTGTTATTTTTTATTTTGTATTGTGTGTTTTCATATTGATTTTAGTTTGTTATGCAGCAGTTTTGGAAAAAAATTAATAAAGTCGTGCCTATTTTGGTCACTGGGGGTCCTGACTTTTTCTTTAATGTTACTTTAGTTCATTTCTTTTATACATTTATGTATATATTAGTCTTAATAATAATACCTCTGCTCTAGGGTATAGTTCTTATAGAAGATATAGAGCAATTAATAAAGATACTTTAATTTACTTTAATTTCTTGTTCAAACTAAAAATGGAGTCAGATTTTCTTGTCTGCCTCATGTTACATAAGAAAATATTTGTCTCTGAATACTTTAAATGTTTTTACAAAGTGCTGAATATGTGTATTATTTAGTTCACTTACTGATAAATTGTACATTTGTAAATATATATGTATGTATTTCTATATTTTATGAGTGTTGGTATTGAGTGAATCAGCAGCAAATCGCCCATCTTTTTTAAGATAGAAGTTATTTCCTGAATAAAAGCTGCTGCAGTTACACAATTTGCCCTTTCAGGAATTATATTTGGAGTTTTCTTCAGTGTCACTCAGAGGAAGTCGAGCCAGATGCTTATCTTGCATCACCGCCTCAACCCGCTGGACAACATACGTGTTCCTTTTTTGTTTTATGATTACAGACATGGAAAGAACGTGTCAGTTAAATAATACTGTAAGTGACAGAGGTACTTCTTTTATTTTTAGACTGAGTTTTTGGTTTGGTGCGTGGGCAGAGTGAGAGCTGGTTTGTGTTATTGATTTGCTGTATACAGTGAGCTTGTGTCTGATAGCTGGCAGTGCCCAGTGGGAACTTGCTCATGCAGAATCCTGGTCTGAATGCCACTGAAAGAATGAACTCTGTCACTTTAACACTAAACACTGAAGTTTTGGTGTCACAAGACTTTTATCCCTCACACCCACATCTCTCACCACTAATCAGACTCTTTCACTTTTCCTCCTCATATCTAAAGCAACTTTAGGAATCATGACAAATGAAAGGGTGTTTTATAAAACTATGCCTGAAATGTTGACGTTTTAACAAATTTAAGTTTATTTTCTTCCATTTTTAAGTTAAAGAAATAGTCAGTGATATTTTGAGAAGTAGAAAAAATCTGTTGAAAGAACGGGAAATCCTCTTGTTAAACACCCACCTTTGTTTCATCTGTGTTTCTAATCAAAGAAGATGCCATTCTGATAACCTGAAGAATTACTGCTGAAACAATCCACAATCCACATACCAATTTATAGCTTTTGATTTGCAGACGTTTTCTATCGAACATTGTTTTTCTGCAAGTTCTGTTCAGTGTTTCCAATGAACCCTTATACCAGCAGCCAGTAAGCCCAAACAGAGAGGATAGTTTACTGATGTTATAGTAATATAGTGATTTTGTGGTAATAAATGAAAAGTAATCTCTCACTAACACTTGAGGATGCTAAAGCTGCAAGATTTTCCTCCCACTATATTTCTCTCACTCATTAACTAATCAGATTTCTGTCTCTCAATGTTCGATGTTTTATGAGCAGTATTTCTAATAACTACATTGTGTTTGTTTTTCACAGTATTTATATAACCTTTAGTAATGTAAGAATCCATTTGGTTGTGGAAATGGGATTGGTTATCTTTGTGCCTATTTTGTTTCCATGGGAAGGCTGCTTAAAAACTGGTCCTAGGCCAAGAAAAATAGGTTTGACAAAAACACCAGAGGAAAGGTTCCCCATGTTCCAGAGAACCAGGCAAAAGTATCGTCATATGGGTGTTAATGTGGAGAGATTGATTACTCTGTTTTCGCGTGTTGCTTAAGTGGTCATACTGTATAAAAGGTGCTGTCTTTCCTGCAAAATTTACTCTGGTTTTTATTACATTCACTCTTATTTTCTGAAAATCTTGAGTCTGCTGCTGCTTTTTTCTACACCTCCATAGAGAGACTTTGCTGTTCTAGTGTGTAAAGAGCATAAATCTCACAAAACTACTAGTGGCTATCCTGGGGCTGTCTGCCTTATTATATGTTGGAGAGGTAAGGGTTAAGGCAGCACCACTTTATTTGCATACTCAGCTCAAATCACTGAAGTTTGATGATGTAACCCTCCCTTATGATTTGTGCTGAAGGAAATGATGACGATATAAGTGAAAATAGCTCAGACTGACTACGATGAATAACACTGAGGTTATTGAAATGGTCTGATTTCTGACTCTTCAGTATGTCATGATAAACTAATTATATATTGATATTTGCCTTGTATGGAATGAAAAGTCAAATATTTCCTGTCTTTGCTTTGGTGTGCTCATTGGTTGTAAACATTCCTGAGCCGCAGAGTGTCGTAACTCTGTTTATTGACAAGAGTCCACTTGTTTCTAAGGCACCGCATAGTTTGACACCTTGCGTACAGTACTAACAGTATCACTGATGAAGTGACTGTTGAACAAAGGAAGAGTTAAAAGGTGGTTTTAGTGAAAAACAAAGCAAATACATATAAATAAACCAATACAAAAGTCACTAACTACATGGTTTACATGTTTTATTCATATGTCTTTTTTCCTTTTATCCCAACTTTGTAGTGCTTAATGATGTAGGATATTAAACAGGGCCCCCTAAAGTCAAGACCTCGCTGATAATGATGTAATATGCTGCCCATCATTGTATCATTACTAATCCTCTATTATTAGGATTGTCTTTATTCTCAGGCCTGTTCTTGCTCATTTCCTCATTTTCTTTCCAGGGTTGCATCAATGGGTCTCCAAAGCACAGCCAAAACAATTAGCTGATCAATCGATCGACAGACAATTAACTAGCAACTATTTTTAAGATGGTTTGTCTTGTAAAAACATTTCATGGTTCCAGCTTCACAAATGTGAGCATTTGCTTTGTTGGTTGTACAAAACAAATAATATAATTGTGCATCTCTCCCTATTTTCTGATTTGTTTTTACAAACCAATTAAATAATGCAGGAAATAATCAGAAGATTAATCAATAATGAATATAATCATTGGTTGCAATCCTATACAAAATGGCTCCACCTCAACCAACTACAGCATTAATAATCCAGCTTTTACATTAATAGACGAGTAATAATAATCTAATGATAGAATATATAACCATATAACAGTCACAAATAATATTTTACTTCATGTTTTAACACTTGAGGTTCATTTTCCTGATTATACTTACACACCTTCGCCTTTTACAGTGTGATATTTGTACTTTTTACTTAAGTAAAAGATCTGAAAACTTAAGTCCACCACCCTTTGACAAATGTACTTTTTATAGATTCACTACTTCCTCTCCATGGAACTGTTACTCATTGTCCCCTTTTCGACCCAGTTTAACTCTCTGAGAGGATACATCTGTTTGTGACTGCAGGAGGAGGATGGGTGGTCAGTCTCCTCCTCCCAGTTTCAGGTAAGAGGCGGAACACTGAGCAGCTTTATAAGGAGGTGGTGCTCTGTGGTGCATGCACTGTTTGTCCTCTACCTCTCTGAACACCTGAGTCATTTAACAAGTAAACGGCGTTTTCAACAGGTAGATGTATTTTAATTTTTACCTCACATTCTATATTGAAATAAGTTATTTTTCTAATTGTTTTGTTTCGAATTGTTTTGTTACTCCTGACATTATTAATGAATATGTATGAATGGCAGAGAATGCATGTATAATATATTTTAGTTATTAGTCAATAAATCAAATCAAACTAGTCACCCTTCATAGTATCTTAATTTACAGCGATTTTCCAGCAGAGCACTTTGATATAAGACTAATTCTGCTATATGTGGACTTTCTAACATTTACAGAGAAGTACCCTAACATAATACAAATGCACCGTTTCCCAACATTTATAGAGCATTCATCACAGCAGATTGCAGGTGAGGCAGCAGGGAAGTCTGGGAAATCTCCAGGATGGAGTCCCAGTTGAAGCCGGCGGCTCTCCTCCTGGCTCTGTGGTGCTGCTGCAGTAAGTGGACAGACACAAAGTACAATGATAATCCAAGTTTACTAACTCTGCATGTGTTTTAAATCGAGTTTAGATGTAAATCTGCGCCTTTTTAACTGCGGCATAACGTTGGAACAAGTCACAACCCACCACTGCGCACTGGGGGGGAAACATACATCCTTTATATTGTTTTATATTTCAGGTGCTCAACGCGTTAACTACATATGGCCACATCAAGGAAGCGTCAATGGAGCAACACGGCTCACCATAAATGGCGACGGTAAGAGACTGGATCCTCAGACAGATTAGATGCTTGAATTGTGATATAGACCCAATTTATTTTATAATGACTGTAAATATTGTATTTTGATTTAGTTATGAGGCTTTAAACACTTACATTAAATATATATTGGTGAAAAAATGGTCAAAAAGTGATCAAATTATCTTTTGTTTGTGCTGTTATCATGTTATGATATTGTTTAACAAACCAGATACAATAAATAGTTATAGTAGTTGCACACTGCAAAAAAGGAATCTCAAGAAAGTTAAAAAAGCGTTTTGTTTTGTCTAAAAGGAAAAATAATGTTGTCAAGTATGTTTTGCATTAGATAAGTAATCTGGTTTTAAGACAATATATCTAACTTTGTCTTGATACAGCTAATATTGAGCAAAATCTAACCAGTTACAAGTTTCAACAATGGTTTGTATAATATCCCAGCAGAGGAACAAGATTATTTTCTTAGATAACTGAGCATTTGTTGTAGTTTTAAGTCTTTCAGTGGGAAGATTTTTATGTTAATTTTAAGATTCTAGCCAAGCAAAAGTGGCTTGTTTCTGCAGTGCAGCTGTGGTTTATTTGTTTTTAATCTGTCGAAAAAAGTCAACTCTTGATCTAAAACTTGGGACTTCTGCTAAATTTTCACCTGTTTTTATTGCAGTAATAAACGCTTTCCTTCAGTAGGACTCGTTTGGCGATAAATGTTTTTTAAAATTTATATTTTTGGTGGGTTTCTTCCAGGTTTTGCTCAGGAAAAACAATTCCAGCTGAATCCAAAAGACGACACATTTGGCAACCGTGTGACCCTAGTGTCAGACACCCGGTCAGTCCCCTGTGAGGTGGAGAGAGACTCAACACATGGCAACCAGATCCTGTGTTACACCAGGTAGCCAAAGGGCCAAAGGGACTCTTAACTGAATATACACATTTCTTAAAAGTCATTTTCTTTATATATGTATCTAAAATAATTAATTTAATTATCATGTCCATCACAGTGCCATGCCGAGTGATCAATATGTGGTCCGTGTCAGCGTGGACGGTGTTCCTATTCCTGACAGCAATATATGCAGTGGCGCATACAAACCATACTATTGCAGCATATATGTAAGCTTGCAGCGAATGCAATACAAACGCCTTAATTTACACATAAATTGATCCTGCAGTCTTGTTTTGATTTGTTTCTAACTGTCTTTTCTATTCTAACTGTCCTCAGACTGTCTGGTACCGCACACCTACCATCGCCACCCTGAGTCCAGTCACTGGTCCCCCAGGTACAGATTACTTTATAGCATACAGAACTTTAAACTTTGAACTTTATATTAAAGCCACTTCAAATCCACTGCAGGCACCTTGGTGACACTGCGAGGACGGATCTTCAGTGATGTGTATGGAAGCAACACCGACAAGAGCTCCAATGGCCTCGACGTCAGATTTCTGAGGTAGAAAAATAAAATGAAACATAGATTCACATTCTAAATATTTATTTTACTGTAAAGTATTTTGTCCCACCAAAGCTAGTATTTTTTTAAATGAGGGACATATCTGACTGCTGTATGATGATATCCTGTCAATATCCTATAAAAAGAAGGCAGATTACAACAATAATGACTAAAGAAACTAGTCTGCATTAAAAACACTAAAGGTTTCAGAAGAAGTGTATTTGTTTGTTTAATAACTCCCAATTTAATTTAAACATTTAAATGTATACTTTTAAATCTGAAGTATACACTTATGAATTAATGAGTATGATTGTGTTTATTGTAGATCCTACATGGGAGGGATGCCATGCGAGTTGCTTAAACCGGAGTCAGATGAACTGTAAGTACTTTGTCTTCATGTAGATAGCTTGATGTAAATACACTAAAGATATAATACAAGTATATATGATTAGTATTTTGTTTTACTAAGTATTAAAAGTTTCTCAAATATTTCTAAAGGTATAACCTACAACTGGACTCTGAAACTTCTCAGTGGGGATACATGAGCTGCAAAATGACGGGGACGTATGTTGGTACGATGTTTTTCTTCATAATGACAGCTGCCTCTGATGTATATTTTAAATAGGATCAATTTTAAAACTCCTTAAATAATTATGTTTTGTTTCCAACAGGGCATCACAACTTGAGTTACATTCTCGATAACGATTTTGGAAGGTAAAATACCTTTTAGTACCCTTTTGTCTTCATGTTTACTCAGATTTTTTACATACATACACCTTTATGATTTCAGAAAGACCTCTAACAATCAGGTTTAGGAGGGTAACTTTAAAACTGTAATCTGATACAATTCCTAATTACCTGTTAAGAAATGAAGTCAGTAACCTAATCCAAGTATTAAAGTAATGTAACTTTATTGCTCTCTGTTGCCTTTTACCTCAGTACCAAATATGCAAATAAAGAAAAGAAATATCAGTAATATTGCCTTTAATTATTCTATAAGACGACATAACAGTGTAACGTTAGTAAATTAGGGATATTTGTAGCAAACAAAAGGGCTCCTATGCTAAAAAAAATTTGCATTTATTAAGCAAATTCAGGCAGACCATTTTCAGAGCTACAAGGTAACTGTACTGTACTGTGAGGTTGTTCCCCTTTTCTACTTTAAAGACAAAATAATGGTGTAATTTCCACCCAGTTAAAGCATTTTCTTTACTAAAAGCCATTATAATGAATGATTAGCTATCGTTTCACTCAAGACCAGAGTGGTGTTCTCGTGAAGACTCTTGAAAACTCTTTGTTTATGGTTCTTTATTTATTTCTTATTTGAAAATTGTAATCCTGCTAATAATCCCCCTGTTTTCCTATAGTAAATGTAACTGTAACAGATTACAGTTGCCTTTTATATATTGTGTACTGGAAATTGGAAAATTGGGGGTCCTCTCCTGAAGATTTGACTTATTGGAGATAAATTGTTTCATTCAACAACCACATTACTGCATGAACAACTGTAATAATATCAATTCATATCTTTAAAATCTTTAGGAGTCTGACAGACAAGAATCTTTACAGAGTTTCATCTTTGGAAAAACTCTCTATGTTTCAGACCTTTGCAGGTACGTTAGACAGACAAATATTTGTTCACGGTGCTTCATGTGTAGTATTTACTGTTATTACAGTGAAATGTTTATTTATGTCTCCTGTTCAGAGGTGACAGGAGTCTCGCCATCCAACGGTAGCGTCATGGGTGGAACCCTGCTGACCGTCCACGGCCGCTTCTTCGACCAAACCGATCTCCCAGCACGTGTTCTCGTCGGAGGTAATTACCACCATCAGAGTGGAAACTTACCCAAAACTCACCAAGCTTTAGCCAGTTGACAACTTTGTCAACTGACAACTTTGATGTTGCACACAACCTGATACTGTTTTCACACAGAACAAAGTGTTCAGCTTTAATGGATGAATGTGGTATGTCTCCACAAAGCAAAACTCACTGGCATATTGTCAGGGCCTCAAGTCATGCGATGGTGATAATCCTTTTCAATAGCACACAATGTGCGCATACAAGACACAACAAACAAAAGAAAATCACAGAGTTGTCACAAGTCAGACGAAAGAATCTGCCTGAAAGCTTAGAGACACAACAGACCGTGACAACAAGTTGGTGAAGTTTTTTCAAAAGACTTCATGAGCCATTTAGCATGTTGTTGGCATATCCTTGACAGTAAAGGATGTCACTTTTATTGAATGTTTGACACAATCATACAATTAAATCACTATTCTTCCATATTTTCACATTAGATGAATTACAGAAATTAATATAAATCAGATACAGAATGCAGAGACACTGCAAGTGCGAACATTCAGCATACTTATTCATTTAGTTCATCCAGTGACCTTTATGTCTGATAAAACTTGAGTGACTTCAACCAATCAGACAGTACCATCAGTTCTACTTTCAAATTAGAAAAATTAAAAGCAATCAAGTTAAACGACCACTTCAAAATCCGATTAAAGGTGCATCAGAATATTGAAGGTTTTCGAGAAGAACACTTCTAACAGATCGCAGAGCTCACATAATCGATTTTCTTCCTGAATATTATATAATCTGTCAACCTCAGTAAAGTAGTATAAATTAGACAGTATAAGCAATAAAAGGAAGGAAAATATGCATAGTAACCTTGAACAAGAACTATAATACTATATATATTACGAGCATCTACGAAAGGGGTTCCCAACCTGTTTTGCTAGAGACTCTTAAAGTGAAGCAATGTCTACTTGTGAATCCTTGTTACTGGTTGAATATGTTAACTGGTTGAGACAAAAGAGGTAAAATATGTCAATAATTCTCTAGAAAAAAGGATTGTTTTGTTTTTTTAACCACTGATGTATCATACACAAAATGAAACACTGGAAAAGAAAAATGAATGGTTCTTGTAACTACAAAGTGTATTATGAAACTAGATATGTGATGAAATGAGAATACAAGTGGAAAAATGCAACCAAAGGACATAAATGTGCATTTAAAGAAATATATCACCCTAAAATCAACTCGTCTTTAAAAATCATTCAGTGTTTGGGACTAGAAACTTTCAGTAATGTTTCAGCTGACAGGAGGTGAGAAGATAATGAGTCAATTTTCACTTTGTAGCTAATTATTCCCTCAAGTAATGCCTGTGCTATTGTGTTTTTGTGTCAGTGGAAAGTTTAATGTGAACTAAGACGTGTGTTCAATCATTGTCTTCTTCAGGCCTGCCTTGTGAAATCCAGAGTGTGTCCGATGACAGAATAACGTGCAGGACGGCCAAACACGATACAGACAAAAACATGACAGTCTACCCAGGTGAGAACACACCTCTTCCCCCTCCTCCTCCTCCTCTTCTTCTTCTGTCCTTTTGTCTTTTGATGTCATGCAACCAACACTTGTCCCGATCCGTCACGTTGCTGTATTTTGTGCTGTGTCATTATCTGAACAACACGTTGATCGTTGGAAGAATTTAAAGCATCTGTCCCCAACAAAACTGCTCTAGTGAAGATGACAATCTCATCTCATCACTTCATCAGGACTCAGGGTGTTTGATGTTTTGTGTACTGTGACCAGATAATCAGTTTTTTGACTGTGACAAAAGCACATATTTCTGATCATCTTACAAAAGACCTCTCGTAGAGCTGACGTCAACAGCAGATACAGACACCAGTTTTTTTTTCATTTCTACAACCTTTTGCCTCATGTTTTTGTAAAAAAAAAAAACAAAAAAAAAACAGTGGAACATCTTGTTTTTTATTTTGGCACCCATGATAACAGTCAGTCACGCGCCTCAGCTGCAGCTTCAGCGACGCTTCATGAGAGAGTTGAGGTCTCACCTATTTTTTCTCTGAGTCGTGGGGTTCCCTGCAAAAACAGACACTGAGAAGGGTCTGTTTATAGTCATATCAACATTATAGAAGCATCATAGACCTTTTACTACAGTTTCAATGTACGAACATATTTGTTACTCTTTAGTGGCTCCTACGACTGATTTAGGAGAACTTCATTCACCAATTTTCTCTTATATTAAAGTTTCTCTTAGGTACAAACACAATTTATGAGTGGTACATGTATCAATAAAGGATAATACTTTGCATTATTATAAAGCAATTTTGAGTTTCCTATTTAAATTTCACTTAATAATTACATTGACATCCTCCTGTTTGAATTATAATATAATTCTAAATTGACAATATCATCATTAAATTAAATTGGCCATTGATGGGGTTCTCAAGGTGTATGCAGGTCACCGTCCAGGGGGACATCCTCTGTTGCATCACCTATTATGGCACATATTTTTTTTTCTATTTTCGTGATGGAGACTTCCCCTTGACCCCTCGACCCCGATGCAGTCATCGATCGCCTCGATTTTCATACTGATCCACTTCTTCTCAATCACTCATTGGCTTTAGCAGGTCCTTAACTTCCACCTTTGTTGATCTCTGAGACCAGAACTTCAATCTCTGAGTTAGTAAAGGGTTAGTTAATCAAAGTTAAGATAAGAATACTAAAAATGTTCTTGCATGAGGACTAATTTCTATATCTGTAGAATATGTCACAGAAATATAAATGTATTGTTTACACTCAACACCTCCTGTATCTGTTTGTGATTAAAAGCTCTCTCGCATTTTGCGTGGACAGAATCCATTCATAAGTTAACACAGCTGCACCACAGGCATTCAGCAAGGCTAATTTTAATAAAATTAGATTTTTTTTTTAATAGAAGAAGCAAAGAGACACTTTTATCTATGACTCAACTTATTATATTCATGCACAGTCATGTGCCACTCATATGTTGTTTAATTATTTCTTAGAGATGCAACTGATCATTTAAATTTTTGATTACTCTGCTGATTATTTCATCAATGGATTGATTAATAACTTTGTCAATAAAATGTCAGAAAATGGTCACAATCATTTCCAAGGCTTCAAATTTCTTATTTTGTCCGACCAAAAGTCCAAAACCAGAGATATTCAATTTACAATCATGTGTCAAAGAAAAGCAGCAAATTCTCACATTTTAGCAGCTCATCAAATGGTTGCCGTTTAATTTTCTGCTGGTCGACTCATTGTATTGTATATAGTATATCAACTAGTATCAACTAATCGTTTCAGCTGTAATTGTGATGCACTACCATTTATTCCCATTTTAAACCCAGGTGGAAGAGGCTTGAAGATGGAGGTGTGGAACGACACAAGACCTAGATACCTGACTGACATTCGCAACTACAATGACAACACAACGGGATACTGGGCACAGTGGATCGACTCCATGCCGCACATCTTTCCTTTAGAATTGGATTTGATCAGCACTCGAACCAGAGGGTTCTTCGTCCCTCCACAGAGCGCCAACTACACTATTTACTTCCACTGTGATGACCGATGTGAGCTCTACTTCAGCAACTCCAGCCGCCCAGAGGATATGGTATGAGCAGAGAGTTTGGTTTGAAATGAATTACACCTACTGCGATCCTCCGAGTGTACAAAATCAAAAGAAATCACGTTTCTATTTAAAACAATCAGAGGCAGAGGCAGAGGCAGATCCAGAGACACCCCTATGAAATGCCTAGTCACTTTAGCTGCCACTCCAGTTCATTGTCAAAATCTGTCAAATTTAGGACATTTATGTAGATAAATAAATAAGTTGAAATCATAATTTGTTATAGCCACATTTTAGACTTAGTAATAGTAAAAGTTCAAAATGTCTAAAGATTTGGAAATATAACAATTTATTGATTCATAATTCCACTTTTGGATATTTTTTATTTAATTCTTTACTAATGTGCCACAATAATATAAAGTTTTTGAGTTCTGATATTTTCATTTAATACATGTGATTGTTTCGGTAAATGCTCCATAACACCCTCTTGTCTATTTCTCTAGATCCGCCCTGGAAACAATCAAAGATATACTAAAAGATAATGTTTGTATTAATCTAATGTTTTTTTCACTCTCTCCACTTTAGGTTAAAATTGCCTTCCAACCATATTATGTCGCAGACTACACAAAACTGGAATCACAAAAGTCTGAAGTAATGGCTCTAGAGAAAGGAAAACCGTAAGTACAGAACTATGCCTCTGATTATAAACTGTATTCATTGTACATGTGAACTTACAGTTTCCCCTGAAAATAAGTTAAAAACTACTTTTTCTGCAGCTACTACTTGGAAATCCTGCATCAAGAGTATGGTGGTAAAGGTCATGTGAACATTGCCTTGTTCAAAGGGGAGAGCCCCTTTACTGAAGACCAGACGGACGATGCTGTCAATGAGGTTCAGAATATCGTGATTGAATATGAGGTGTTCGATGAGGAACTGGTATGTAGTTGCTAACCTGTTGCTAACCTGTAGCTTTGTTCTGTTAAACACATCCCAGACTGCTCACAGTCTAGTTAGATAGTCTGGGAAATATTCTTCTTGCTGAGTTAGATGAGAAGATCAATAACCACTTGATTATCTGCATCCAATCCATACATCTATCCGAGGAGGTCACTGCAACAGCCAAGAAATAGTCCAGCACACAACTTGTTTTTTTTATGCTTCAGTTTTTGTGTTGATTAAACAAACAAGATATAATGTTAATAAGATAGTAGATATAGCTAGTTAGTGTGGTGGTGTTACTGTAGGCAGACCTTTTAATCTTTAAACAGAGCATATATTAATCTATATTGAACATATATTAAAATGGTATTAATTCTTATTTAATTTTAAAACACTGTTAAAAGCAGTTAATAATGATTTAACATTAACTGGTTTCTGCTGCTTTTTCAATCCTTCTTTCTGTTTCCAACTTTCCACTTACACTTTTGGAAGCATGGATATCAATGTCTGGAGTCCCAGCAATATATAATATATATAATAATATAATAATATTGTATTGCAATTTTGTTTTGTGATACTGTAAATTATTTTCTGTGTTCATTTAGTGTCCACCTCTTGTTCGTGTCTGTAATTCACCATTGTTCTTTCTCACTGTTTCCCAGGCGGTGACCTTTGAATCGTGGCCCAGCAGTGCCGCCGCAGTCAAAGAGGTGCAGAAGGTTACCGTCAGCAGCAACTGTGCCAGCCATCTTTGTGGGAGCACCTTCTTCAGCCTGGGCTATGGAGAAGCAATGACTGGTAATGTGTTTTACAATTAGTTAATTTAAAGAAATCTTGTATCTTGCACATTAATTACCTTAAAATACCAACTTTTACATTTTACATTAGCATTTGTGGCCACTTAAGGAAATGGCTGAACCTGTTCCTTTAATCTATAATAAATATATACCAGCCATTATGTTTGTGCATGACTTTTGCCTTTTTCTTCTTTAGGACCAATTCCAGTCAGCTCCTCAGCAATTATAGTGGAAGCAGCCTTGAACAGCCTTTGGTCCATCAAACCCGACACAGTTAAGGTCACAAGACAGGACGATGGCCAAGGATCGCACTACATAGTCACATTCAACTCTGATAGAGGTATGAAGAAACAGAAAGGAAGCAAGTTGCTAGTTTGTGTGGTTGTTACACCGCATTCACATGAATCACCATTAAACTACTTTATGTTATATGGGATCTGTGTACCTGATTGTATTTATGGTTTTAACAGCCAAAGAGCAATACGTTTATTGATCAGCTATCTTTTTTTGACTGCAGGGGATTTCAAACCTCTTCGCTCAGAGGTTTTTGGCTCCGACACCAACGTCACTGTTGCTGAGGTTACAAAGGGAACAAGCAACATGGAGACCTTCACTCTGGTCTGGGGGGGAATCCCTACAAAGCCCATCGCCTTCAATGCAACTGAGTCTGAGGTCTGTTGTGTAAAACTGCTCAAACCTGAAGTCCCTCTTTGTGCTCAGACACCGTATCTGTGATTCAGTGTGATTGGAACGATATCTGACAGGCTGAATTTACAAAAACTCTTAGAGATAATGACTTAATGATATCTCATTTCAGTTCTTAGACTATTTTGTCAAAATAGATTCTCATTTTTCGACTGAAGTTATTGCAGTCGTTGCAGCCTGTGCTGTACTGTGTAGAAACAATACTAACTTCCAGTTTGTGGGGTTTTGTGAACAGGTGCAGTCGGCCCTGCAGGTGATGATGAAAGCCAAGTGCCCCGGAGAGATCTTGACAACGGAAGGGACTAATGTGAAATACTTCAATGACTTTGAAAATGATATCTCTCAGGTCAGTGGGGACAAAAAAAACAACATTCATTTTGTACTGACTGTTTACAGTTACAGACGTAAGCATAAACATGAGTGAGAAAAACTCTTATAATATTAACTGTGCTTGCATCTCAAAAACACTTGTTTTACCTTCTTTTGATTTAGCCTACAGACCTTAAAACTTTGGAGAGCTTCTGGTTTTGTTTGCTCACAGTTTTTTGATTTCTTGCACTCTCCAGTTCGATACTGCTGAGGAAGGCACTCCAGTGAACAACTCTGGTTTCTGTGGCCAATGGTCACTGAAGAACGCTGTGGTTCTTTTCAAGGAAAGTTACAACAAAGAGTCTGGTGATGCCTACGGACCAGTTTCATTGGATGATCATTCCACGGTAAAACACACAACTGTTTTATTCACTGAGGTTCATCTTGTTCAATTTGAAATTATAGTTAATGGACAAATGGATGCAACAAGAAAGTAGTTGACAAATGTACTAAAACATTCTGATCTACTGTCTCTGAAAGGTGATTAAACTATGACTTATCTTCAGTTTTCATCTTAAATATTATATTCCTTTCCTTGCAGCTTTGCTTTGCATACAAGGGAATGCTGAAGGATGAAGTTGGAATGAAGTTCACTTACCGCAACAGCGACGGCCAAACCAAGACAGAGACCGCAAAGATCAACACTGTTTTCAATAAGGGCCACAAGTCAGTGAAAACCATACAGTGATTTAAATTTGTCAGATGGAGAACTTTTGAGAAAGATTGCAGCATGTAAGTGTGATTATCTCTCAACAGATGGAGTTACACATGCATGGACCTGCAGAGTTCCCTGCAGACAGAATACATTGGCAGCAAATACAGTCTGCTGGAGCTTTACCTCTACAATGACGAGTCTGGTGATTTCTATGTGGATGCCGTTTACATTGGAAAGACGCCCACAACAAGTGATGTGAACGGTACACAGATTGATAGTCTTTTTTTATTGTTTTAGTAGCTGTTTGATATCAAAGCCTCAGTTTTTTTGTCTGTGTGTTACATTTGATTGATGTGTGAACAGATGGTGCCCACCAATATCAAGACTTAAATGTTCAGCAATTTATTTTATTGATTGTTTTCCTTAACAGTTGTTCCCCACAAGAGAAGGCCTCCACCTTTTGAGAGCTCTGGTCATTTCTTCGAGGTGTTTTCTATTAGCAAAGACACATCAACTGGTTCACAGATCAGCTACAAAATCAAAGCCATGGCGGTAGATTGTGGCTTTGGGTTCCCACTGCTAGAAGTTGGCTTCCTGCAGGTAACTGATTAGTTGAATTTATGTAACAATGTCATATTAAAGACAAGCGATATTGATCCTTATGTGAAGTAAATCATCGGTTCATCTTGTTATTTAGAGACAGAAACACACATTTCAATATTCAATATATTTTATTAATGGGGCATTATTAACACGCACATGACAGGAAGTGTTTTTAGCTGACAAATTGAGATATAGTGAATGTAAATGAGGGAAGATGTTCCTTTCCCCAGCTTGTGTTTCTTGGGAAACACTTCCAGTAAAATAGACAAAAAAATCAAATACAACCTGCCAACTTCTACTGATAACAGTTCTTTGGAACAGCGAAAACTTTACACAAGGAAAACAGATGTCAGATTTGAATTTGAAGTGTTGCTTCAGTGGTGTGACTCAAATAACAGAGGAAATGATCTGTAGCCCATGGCCATGTGATATAACTTACAGTGAGGCAGAGCAGAGCGGCGCCACAATGATCCCGTATGTGTCTCGTGCCTCGACATGCTGTACAGTCATCATTTGCCTAACAGATTGCAGTGAAAGCAGTGACCAACTACTGTATGAAGACAGGCACGAAAAAGTGTGATGGCGGGGTGTAGCGCCAGTTGTAAAGTTTGTTTCAATTAAATCTGATTTCATCATTTCCTCATCCTGCAGTATTTGTAATTATTCTTAAAACCTTTAGTGTCTGCAGCCAAGTTCCACATATTGATCCCCCAGAGTTTGTCCAATTAAACCATCATATAAAAGCTTGTTTCAGTCTAGACATACAGTATTGTGATAATAAAAGACATTAATGACATTTTGTAAGAAGGGAGCTTGTGTATTAGGAAAATTATAAAAAGAAACTTTTTAAACCTCTTCTTTCTCCACTTGTATTTCATAGATGTCCAACAGCAGCGAGGACATGGCTGAGTTCAGGCAAGGAGCAGCCACCGTCACCATCACTCGCCCTCACAGAGCCACCCCTCCTCTGAACGGCACATTTGATGTGGAGATTTACGGAGGCCGAGCTGAAGGTAGTTCAGACGGACACGTGTAGTATTTGCATTGTAACAAATGTAACTGTCCTGGCTGAATGCACGACTTGTTCCACTGATAGGATCATTCAACAGGTTAAACTCCCTGTGACCCAAGATGGACCACTAACTTTTAAACTACGTGCATGCCAGTGTTGCTATTGTAGTAATGAGAAGCTAATATTCAGCCTGAAGTGAATGGTATTCACAAGTTTCCAAGCACGCAGTCACTCATCCTGTCAGCTACTGTACTGTGAAAACATAATGAGCACAAAACAAACACAGAGAGAGCTGGAGCAATGCCTCAGACAGTATTTCCTCTGCAAAGCCAATCCATCATTGGGTTTCTTTAATTCACAGATGACAAAATTGTGACTCTCAAGTGTGGATTTTTTTCCACAAAATTAACACACAGAAACCTATAAATTATATTCAAACAGAAATTAAACGCTGTGTGCATCAGCACAGAATTGATTGAAGAGATAGTTTGGGTCCTGGCTGGGGAGCAGAGCGACACCCTGCTGAATACAGTGTCAGCAGAAAAACATATTTTATCCACTTAAAAAAAAACCTGGTGGACTTAATAGAACGTTTTCACTGCTTTACCTTGCCCTCCTTTGGCACTACATTTCCTCATCCTGTTCAGTATCCATCTGCAAACGTTCTTCTGTATATAAAGGTATCCTCTTATCTCCACAGTGAACAGCATTTAGTTGCCGCAGTCATAATCACTCATTTATATTGTCTAGTATTTGTTTTCTCTTCCATAAACTGCTGTGGGTTCAGGATTAGGACTACACAATTAAAGGCTGAGACAGTGTGGTGCCAAAGGAAATGTTTTTAAAATAACGTACACTCTTGGCTTCCCTAACTACCTTAGATTAGACCTTTAAAGGAGATGTATCTCTCATGTCTCTCGCATTTTAAAATAATCACATCATGACTATAAAATACATGTGTGAAATTTTTGTCTTTTAGTTTTTACTGTAGTTGGATAAATACATTAGCTATAGCGTCTTTCCCACTTGTAAGTAAACCAGTTGTTTTAAATGTTACTATTGCTATATAAATATCCCCCTACTTAGGAGTTTGTCTTTGTGATATTGGTAGAAAACCATACTGATGGCTTGTAGTTTTAATGTCTATATTGGAGCAGATGGACCGCTGTATAACCTTGCAAAAGAGACAGTCAAAAATGTAGACTTTGAGCGAGAAATATAGTACAACACATGTAACAGTTGCTCTTGCAGGGAGGTGTCTAACACAACCATTGCCTGTTCTCAGGTCTGTCAGTGGACATCAGCGAGGAGGACCTGAAGTACGCCCTGGAGGGAATTGCTGGGATGGGTCAGGTCAGCGTTACATATCAGGGAAGCTGCAGACGCCCCAAGTGGAGGGTCGAGTGGCTCACTAAACCCGGAGACCAGCCTCTGATGCAGGTCCGACTCCACCTCTTATTTCATTGTTATTTTATTGATTTATTTAGTTAATATTGGTGCATTGTCCAAAAACACTTTGTTACTAACAAATTATTTTCATTACTTAAGACTTTATTTGCAGAAGTAGTAGCTGTAGCAGCAGTCATAGTAATATGATTACATAAATATTCATCATATATATATAATATATGTTCTTGACCACCATCATTTAGCAAACTTAAATCATTGTCATAACACAAGAGAAGTTGACAATCACCTGCCTTTCTGTAAAACTAGACATGGTCAATATTTCCTACCGTTTATGTCTAATTAATTAACTGATTGGTCCTGTATAGCTGTGGGTTTTTTTTGTGTCTTTTACCTTTTTTCATTTATATCTATATTTATTTTATTTGACCTGTTCATTATTTTTTAAATCACTGACCACTGTATATGCGCACAGCTTCTTGACCTCTGTTGTCACACATGTTTTCCTATCTGCTCTTCCAACCATGTTTTACTCCCATTACAGCTTAACGGCTCGTCGATTGTTGGCAAAAATGTAGATGTTTTCGCCCAGGAGAAAAAGAAGGGAGGATTGTTGTTCAGAGGCCTCTTAGGAGATTTCTTCCGTGTCTGTGAAACCAAACCACAGGTACAATTGTGATTCATACAGCCTCTGGCACATCTGGTTTTGGGTTTCAGCATTATCCGTCTGTCAAATGTCTACTTTAGCCACCGCTGATTACCTTGTGTGTTTTCTTACTATAAACCCTGTAGAGCAAGTTCTATTTTTGTCTTCAGTGTTGCATAACATTTTAGCGTTTTTGTCTATTTTCTTGCCTCCAGGCAGAATTTGATTATGTTTGCATGCTAATAAATAACTGCTCTGTACTGAAGTGAGTGACAGCTACAGTCCCCCATTATGCTACTTTACATCTTAGTAATTATTCAAACCCAGTTTTATATAAAAGTCATCCTAAATGTGACGTTTCTGATTAGGAGTTTTGTGATGCTGTTTGCAGGTGGAGGTTTACATCAATGGCATTCCCTCAAAGTGTTCTAGTGATTGCGGGTTTGAATGGTCTGAGGACGCAACTCCAGTTGTGACTGGAATCAGCCCATCTCAAGGTGCTCATTCAACATTATTGGTTATTAATTGACTTTTAAGACCCAATATATACAACCAAGTTCCTTTAACAACACAAGTAGCTTTGTAACTTTTTAGAGATTATGAAATGTGTAAAATATTCAACAACAGTTGTTTATATATTTTTATTTTCAAGTACTGATTAACTAATAAAAATCTAGTAAAGTGTTAGTGAATTGTCAGATTTTGTAGAAAAAAACATGAAAACTTCAGGATTCCTGTATATATGCTACATATTAAAAGATGGTGATGGTGGTGAATGTTTTATCTATTATTAAATTACTTTACTTTTCAGGATCGAATGGGCTTGGGACTCTTTTGACTGTTACTGGAACTGGCTTCCGTAGTGAAAATGCCTCCATCTTTGTGGGAAAGGCCAGGTGCGATGTTGAACAGATCACCGGTAAGTGAATAAAGTTTGGGGAGTATAATACTGTGTCTGCTCTTGTTAAAATTAGTCGGCTGTTTATAACCTAGCAGCAAGAGTTTAATCAGATCAGTTGTGTTTCAGCTACCACTCAGGTGTGCAGACTGGGCAGCGCCAGTGCTGGTACCTACCCCGTGTCCGTCAGCTTCCCCTCTCTGGGTAATTCACGCTACCCAGACGGCAACATGTTCCACTTCACCTACCAACTCATTGTTTCCTCTTTCACTCCGCTCTCTGGAAGTGTGGCAGGTGAGACATAACTCTAAAAACACTGAACTGAGTACCCAAACTGTTCAAAAGCAGAATCACTGGGGTTGCATTGGGAACCTTAAAAATACAGTCTGAGCAAATAGTAGCTCTCATTATTTTTTATAACAAACTATAACCATCATCTTCTTTTATGTTTTGTTTCAGGAGGCACACTGCTGACAGTGAGTGGTTTCGGCTTCGGCCAGAACACCACAGTTACTGTTGGCAGCGAGGAGTGCGTGGTGGTTCATGCCGGCGACACCGAGCTGAAATGCAGAACGCCACCAGTAAGTGTACAGACTGCAAACTGCTGCTCTTTAAGGATGTTATTTTCCTGCAGTATCCAACAACTAGCTGTAATACAGGGCACTAAGCACTTACTATACATGTTTATATGTCAGTGTAATTTCTAATACATCAGTGCAAAACCTTATTTATTATACATGTAGATTACCTTAGTTACCGCTCTAATTTTGATATTGCAATTATTGAGTTAATGACCTTATGTGTTGCTGCTTTAAAGCGAGCCTATGTACTAATTGTTACTGTGGCGATTTCAGTTATACAGAAATATCTTTCTAGCTTATGGTGGCTAATTTTATCTATAAGCTACTGCTCCAGACCAAGTACGGCTGTAGCAAAATAGAGTTTTATTAAATATTATTTAATAAATGCTTATATTACTCATTTCAGGGAACTGCAGGATCACAAAATGTCACAGTGATGATGGGAAACATGAGTCAGACAGCCAACAGCTCCTTCACCTACGATAATAACCTCACACCGCAGATCTCAGGCCTGAGCCCTCAAACTACCACTGTGATTGGTGAGCTGAGAGTCTTTTTTGTCCTTGTATTCATGTATTTAATAACCTTTCAGTGATAAAACATTACTGAGATGGGTAAACCAAGAAGAGTGCTGGGGTTATGTTCTTTGGTTAAATGAAAAGTTTAATGGAGAGGACATTTTTTTGTCCTTAAAGGTCAATAGAAATCCTATCTGTCTACTGAATGCAAAAGACACTAAGTCTACTACGACTACGACTATAGAGTTGTCTTTTGTTTATGAAAAGAAAAGGATTCAGAGTTTATTCACTGTGTTTCAATGCCTCCCCTCAAAGCAAACTCAGTAATCTATAGGCACAGTACATTTGTCATTAGAGAATTAGTCTAATGAAAGCAATATTGTTATAAAATATAGAATATTTTGTATTGTCTTTAATTGTCAACAACATAAGTATGCCATCTCCTATGTCATAAAACCAAATATATAACAGGTTGCTACTAGTAAACATAAGGGCTCTGGGGTAACTGATGTCCGTGGCGGGTGAATTTCTGCTAATAGATCACCTAAATGCCTTCTTATTTTAGTTTAACTGAGTTGGCATTCGACCCTACTGTCACAAGGAGCTTGTGTGGAAACTTTTTGTTATCACTGTCACCTCATTAGTCATGTTGTATTGTCGTGTAATGTTGACTTGCAGGTTTTATTTCTTTCTGCTCGCTAAACCTTGGGAATCTTAACCTGTAAGCTCCTGTAATTATAGTAAATAATACAGTCCTATCCACACAGCAAGAATACTTCTTAATCTGCAATTGATGGTACTTTGGTAATTAAGATGAGACAAGTGCTAATTATCTTAGACATGGAAAATGTTGACGTATCCGTTTTTGACTCCTTTTGTGTAGGACATCACGTTCTTACCATCCAGGGTTCGAACCTGGGAGGCCAAGACAATGACAGCATGGTGTTCGTAGGCAGGAAGGAGTGTGTCACCGTCCAGTGGACATCAACAAACATCACCTGTCTTCTCCCTGTGCTGCCGCCCGATCTGTACAAGGTGGATGTACAGGTAGGAAACAATGGCTACCCCCAGACAAGGTACGCCTACTGTGAGAGACATTCTCACGTTCTCACTGCCTCAGTGATTTTGAACAGTGCATTTGTCAACGTTCCAGCTGAAAAAGTGTTGATAGTATCAAGTGTTTTGAAATTTTGCTAATGTGACGTCACATTAGCTGTTGTTGCACATTGTGTAAGGGTAAAGGGTAAAATAATAGAGCTTAAGATAACATTACGTATTGTCCCCTGATTTTATATTTCTCTTTTTAGATTATTAAACACACACACACAAATAAAGTACAGTATAAAGTAAATCAAACAATTAAAAATCTAAATAAATAAAACAAAAACAGAGGGTGAATTTCAATATTACTTTTTAACATATACTATACTTACTTTTGTTGTGTCACAAGTAATGATACACTTCAAAATAAAAAAAACTCTATTAAACTATTAAAACAAATGATTACATTATTAATGGCAGAAAACATTGTTCATCTGAGACTTAATTGGACTGTTCTCTGCTTTTTTTGTTTCATAGCAACGGTGTGAACGCCACCATTGAATACATCCTGGAAATCAACAGCATCACCCCACTGTTTGGCTCTCTCCTGGGAGGAACCAGACTGATTGTTTCTGGATCTGGTTTCAGCACAAACACCTCTGACAACAAAGTCTCCATTGGTAAGCAACAGGAGACCCAGCAATTTCAAACACAATAGTTATTACAGCAGCAATAATCTCTGACCACAATGTATTAAAGAATGGCAGCAAACAATTCAATTTTTATCAGTGGAATTACTGGGCTGGTGTTAATCTACTGTGATGTAACTACATGCAAATATGGAAAAGCCGTAATATAATGGCGTTCCTTTGCATTGTGTATATGATCTCATATATATTTTGTGTTGGTTGATGACAGGAGGAGCTGAGTGCGAAGTGAAGGACGCCTCAGAGAACGAGCTGCAGTGTGTTATTCAGTCGGAGCAGCAGACTCACATTGTCACCAACCAGGGATCCCACCGCAGTAGGTTTACATTTCGATCCTTTTGGCAGATGTCAAACTAAATCTAAGTGGACTAAAATAGAATACAAAAGAATGAGGATTAATTTACTGAAAACTGCTGCCAGCAAGGAAGCTGTCACCGGTAGATTTAATGTAACTGCACCTAGAAACTGTTTCAAAAGGAAAGTTATTCAAAACCAGTTTGACCTCCATTTTTCTATAATGAACCATATTTAGAATAGCATTCACATGTTTTGCCAAATGTTTTCAACAATGTTCAAACTTAGAGAAATCTGTCATTTTTTTCAGTTTATTTAGTCAGTATTCCCTTTATGCATGCGTTTTGGTGTTTTTCCCAGTTTCAAGCAGTTTCAATATTCTTTTTAGATCTTGGTTATTTTTAACTGTATATTTAACCGGATAAAGGATTTTAGTCATCAGACGTCTGGATCTTAAGTTATCAGAGAAACAAGCCGAGCTAATGTTAGCAGCATCTATTATATATTATGTATTATAATTACCGGGTCCATTCGTTTGTTCGAGAGGAGGAAGCCTCCGCAGATAATTCGGCTCCCGATATAAACCTCCTGAGCAATGAACACTAAAGGAATTCTAACCGGGAGAAGCTGACTTCATGGATGGCATGGTGGTGAAGACAATTCCCATGATCCCACGCTACTTCACGACTTCACCAAACTACTCTTTTTTTTCTGTTTTGATGTGAGAGACCCCCTAGTGACAGAAATTACACATTGTACGTTTAACTTACATGTAGCTTAACCTCATACAATGACATCTCTCCTGTGTGTGTTATTATCTGTTTTGTGTGTACTGTTTGTATATATTTCAGTCTAACTATACATTTGTCTGTGTGTCCCAGCTTATGGACAGGGGTATGCATGGAGTCCTGCTTCACAGACGGTGTTTGTTGGAGACACAGTAATGTGGCGCTGGGAGGCACCACCCTTCCAGAAAGTCGGGTACCGGGTCTTCAGTGTCTCCAGTCCAAGTGGCACCACCTACGAAGGCGGACCATTCAACAGTGGACAGACCAAGACAGCCAAAGGTAGAACACTGAGTCACTCTTCCTCAACATTAAGAACAAGGAGTCCTTTTATTCACCTATCAAAAAAACTAAACTTTACCCTCATTGAAGAAGAATTAAAAGTGAAATCCACCCTTAGATTGTTTGGCACTGTTAGATATCATCAATTTGTGATGTTTGGTGCCTGGGAACCCTTCATTTATGATTTAGGTTTTGTTGGTAGGTTCTTTCCTTTTCTTTCCCTTAATTTATCAGATGAAAGTGGTATTAAAATATCTTTTTCAGACAAAAACTGACCAAGAAGGGAGCTCAAAAACAGTATTAACAGTACATTAAACAGTACATTATTACCACCTTTTCTGTCTATCTTCAGCTGTCCTGTCCAATAAAAAAAGGCAAAAAGCCCCCCCAAAAATGTATAAACCACCAAAAACAACAAGGTGGATGTGAGGAATGAGGAATGTCATGTGTGCCATGTGATATGTTACACCTTTCAACATGTGTGAGAGACAAATTAACTTTTGCTCTTGCTTTCCCCCCCCAGGCTTTTTCAGCTACCGTTTCACTACACCCGGTGTATATTACTACAGCAGTGGCTACATCGATGATGCCAACGCCTTCCTGCTGCAGGGAGTTGTGAAAGTCCAGCCTCGGGAGGAGAAAAGCAGCAAGATCTCTGTCAGTGTGGGAGGCATGGAGGCCAGATACGTGACTGCAGGTAAATGTACAAATGTGGATATGATGCTGTCAACCAGCAGCTTGATCCTCCAGTAAAAAAGTTCCTTCAGTTCCTTCAGTAGAATAAAGTTTATCTTTCACATTTTTAGATAGAAAGGACAAAACTACAGTTGAGATCCAAGTCAAGTTTGCAAATAATCAATGGATTAAACTGTCTCCCCTTCAGGTTCCAGTCGTGTCTCCAGAGCCACCGCACAGTGCGTCGCCTCCTCACAGTGCCAACAGACCAATGAGACTTCAGACGGCCTTTCCTTCAGCGCCTCCGCCTGCTCCACGCCCACGGTCCACTCCATCTCTCCCAACCAGGGGTCGTACCACCAGGTCATCCACATTCAGGGCAGTGCCTTCAGTGACATTGCCTGCGCTAATGAGGTTAGCAGCATTTCTATGGCTCATATGTAAATAGATTTTAAATTTAAAATGTATTGAAATGTTGACTGACTGGTGTCTCTGCGTCCTGTAGGTGACAGTGGGAGATCAGCCCTGTCAGGTGATCAACAGCTCTCACTCTGAGATTTACTGTCAGCTCAGCGACAAGAGCGAACTTCCCATCGGTGTCGCTCACCCTGTAGCCGTCAGAGTCAACAACTTTGGCAGCGCCATCATCGCCGTCCAAGACGAGCTCGCCCGTCGTTTTGTGGTTCTGCCTGTGGTGAATTCAGTCTTTCCCCCTATTGGCAGCCCCACAGGCTACACGCGGGTCCTCATCTACGGCTCTGGTTTCTCTGAAGGACAAGTGACTGTAGCCAGCGAGCCATGCACTGTTGTGTCAGTCAATTACACTTGTATCACCTGTGACACTTCTGCTTCTCAGCCTCACACTGGCGATGTCGTCTTCCAGATGGGCAGGATCCCAAGCTCTTGCCACTCAAACTGCTCCTTCGTGTACTCCTCCGTCACTCCCACGGTCACCGGTATTTCCCCTGAGAGCATCAGCGATTTAACCACCGTCACCATCTCGGGCTCAGGGTTTGGCAGCCGTGTGGATGACCTGGCAGTGTTTGCCAGCACCATACAGCTGAATGTCACCGCCGTAACTGATGGCAACATTTCACTAAGAGTTAGCGCTCTGCCTGCGGGCGACCATCCAGTCATAGTGATTGTGAGAAGTAAAGGCCTCGCATCCGGTCCTGTAACCCTAAGCAGCCAAGCCCAAGCTGGCCTCAACCCTGACACGGGCAGTCTGGCAGGAGGAACCTCTCTCATCTTCACTGGAAACGGTTTCGCTCCAGGGAACACCAGCGTGACGGTCGATGGCCAACCCTGCGAGATTCAGGAGGTGACACCGGGTCAGCTGCGCTGTCTGACGCCTCCTCACAGCGCGGGGTTGGTGACCGTCAACATCCAGGTCTTTTCGGTGCAGTATCCTCCTCTCAACTTCACCTACTCTGCAGCCAACACTCCTGTCATCAGCTCCATCAGCCCCACCACTGGTAATTATGGTCTTATACCTCCTGTAGTCATAGTAACATGTTATTCTCAGCTTGTGCACAAAGAAAGAAACTTTTTTTCTAGATGGAAACATTTTTATGTAACCCTATAACTTCAGTTCAGATTCACTGTATTATGTTCATATTATATCCATCCAGTGCTGTGTAACCTTTTCTCTCATTACCTCATCTTCCTCTCTGTTTATTTCCCACAGGGCCGAGCGGGGCAGTCGTCACACTGACAGGTTCAGGATTTGGCACCGACTCTCAGCAAGTCTCCGTCACCATAAACCACGTCCCCTGCAATGTGTCCTCAGTGTCCGACACACAGGTCCAGTGCACTGCAGGGGACAACCCAGGGGGGGCGTACCCAGTCATGCTGCAGCACCAGGTCAAAGGTCAAGCCCAGTCAAATGTCACGTTCATGTACGAGCTGACCCTGAGTGGCGTGCAGCCCAACGAGGGTAAGCAGAGACGGTCTAAATAATCCACTGCACTGTTCTTTTAGTATGCCTTCATATTCTTGTTATTTTATACTCAGAGTAGGGTAACACACACAGAATATAGTATCACCCAGGATAGGTAATAAAGGTTTAAAGGTAAATGCAGCCATATTGCTGTAGGTCAAGTTTTTAAATTATCTTACTAAATAAGTTCTTTCCACCTCACCTGTGATTCAGGCAGTTTTGGCGGTGGCGCGCTGCTGTTCGTGCAGGGTTCTGGGTTTGACCCGCACAACTCCACTGTGATGATCTGCGGGGAGGAGTGCAAAGTTGACAGAGAAATGTCGACATCAAGCCGTCTGTACTGCGAGTCTCCTTTCAACAATGGTACGTTTACTTTATTTCACCAGGATGATCCACTCAGACCTCAGTCATCCTCTGTCCAAAGTAACAGGAGGATTCAAAACTTAAACTGTCAGCTTCAGTATTTTTGAATGACAAAAAGAGATGATGATTTTGATACTCTGATTCACCTTTAGTTATTACGGTTTCATGTTGTTCAAATTAACATTTAATCTGTATGTTTGTTGAACGTTAATATTCTGCCAAAGCTTGAATTAATACACATCAGTTAAGGATGTGAAGGACAGACCTGCTGTGTGCTGTAAAGATGCAAATACAACATAACTTTACATTAAGTGTCAGGGCTCTATCAGGGAAATTAAACCTGATTGTTGTTGGTTTTTTTATTTTCTTTATTTAAAGTAGGTTAGTACATTAACAACACAGCATTTTCATTTTTTCCTCTACCTTAAAACTGCCATTATTACGGGAAGCACAATGACTAATTTCATCACTTCTGGAGCTAAAGATGCATATTTGTTTCTGACAAGCACCATTTGAGTTATTTCGCCTGTGAGAAAGAGGGCGCTCATCTTCTAACCAACAGCTGTCCATGAAAGGTTTAAAGCATTTTTGAAGTTCTTTTTTTAAAGAATGTGGGCCTACTGGTTCGTATTTTTAGTTCCAGGATCACTATAACAAACCAATCCTGTTTTAGTTGAACTTGAAATGCTTTAATGGAGACTTCTGTCTGCGAGAAATGTTGTTGGCCTTTAATCACACAAAAAATGACAGACATATCAGATAAGACAATAACCTGTCACGGACGATGAAACATCTTAACATGCTTGATTTTTCCGAGCACGCATCTTGATTGTTCCCGTTCCTTTTATCGTTTGTCTGCTGTTGCATATGGGTGTGCTGTCTACTCTCAGGCACTCAGTCGGAGGTGAGCTGTACGGTTGCTGTCATTAACCAGCTGGATGCCGTCAACATATCAAATGGCTTTGCCTACAAATCTCAGTTGACTCCGGTGATCACTGAGGTTTCTCCACGCAGAGGAGGCACTGCTGGAGGCACCCGGCTCACAATCACCGGCTCCGGTTTCAGGTGAAGTAAAGGAGGAGACTGCAGTGTACAGATGACACAATGGATGAGACACACCCAGATTATGGACCACTGGTTGAGAATCAAATGCTCAACTTACAAAATACAATTGCTTTTATTTCACAAGACGTCTTTGCTTTTGTTTGGTTTGAGAAATTTTCTCAGTTTTGGCATGTAGTGGTTTCCAAACATGAACATATACTCTGTTTATTTTACACATAACAAACAATATCAGTATTTCCACATGTGTTCATTATCAACAACAATCAGTATAAGTGCCGAGAATAAAGCCTCAATGTACAGTTTTATATATACGCATCCAAAATAGTTAAAAAACACATTAACAACACATTATAATGAACAGTGTGGTTCACTTAATGTATCATATAGTTTGAATAGTTACTATATCGAGATGCCACGGAAAGACATAAATTATATATATAATAATAACAAAACATAAGTAACACAAAGACTCTCGTATCTCATATTTTGTAATTTTGATATAATTTAATATACAATAGTATTATATTATAATAAATTGCAACATGAGATTGAACTATACATTATAGTATAGAGGTATATTATGTACAGTCGGTAGTTTATTGTATCTTTTATACATTCCACTCTATGATATTATATTATATTTTATTATATTATATTATAGTATATTGTTTCATAATATAGATCTTGATTATATTTCATGTGATTCTATTATTTTTTCATATATAAAAGTATAATAAACCACTTAAATATTAACATAGCTACACCTTAACACAGATTAATATATATATATATATATATATATATAAATTACATTGAATTAAAATAAATGTGATTAATAACAATTTAGTTTTGTAGAATGATATGATATGGTTAAAGTAAGATATATTCTATTCTATTTTATTTTATTAAATTGTATTATATTAAAGTATATCACATATGATATATTATACTATGCCATGGCATTATGTTATTGTATATTTATTATATTCTGTTTTATTATATACATATATAATATATATGTCACAATACAATGTATTATCTAAGTTAATATTTTAATGTCATCACATTCACTCATTACCTTACAGCACTAACATGAATGAAGTGAACGTGACAATCGCGGGGTCTGTGTGTGATGTTCAGTCCACCAACAACACACACATCATCTGTGTGACAAACGCTCAGCGACAGTCTCAGGAAACCAAAGTCAGAGTCAGCATCGGAGACAGAGGTATCGCCAAGATGGTGAGAGAGGACAGTCCGACCTAACAACATAATAATCAGACTGATATCGTCACATGGTTGTCTACATACAGTATTTGTCTCTTTCTTTAGGATGACGCAGATTTCTTCTACATTGACGTGTGGTCATCCAGGTTCACGTGGGGTGGTCTGTCTCCACCCGAGAAGGGCTCGTTTGCTGTCATCACTAAAGGCCAGACCATCCTGCTGGACTCCAGCACCCCTGTGCTGAAAATGCTCCTTATTCAAGGTGCAAACAGTATTTTATTATGGATATTTGTAATGATACAGAGAAGGTTTTTTTAGATTAATTTATGTTTTGCATCCTTTATTTCTCTTTTTTTCTAATCTTCCTGTTACTTATAGTTATAGAATCACTATAGAAGTTGTTGATTTTTTTTTTTTTTTTACTCACATAATTGCTCAGTACAAGAACATAAAACACATTTTTCCAACAGTATTTAGTTTGTAACTTGCTGTTTCTTTGTGCTCAGGAGGGACGTTGGTGTTTGATGAAGCGGACATCGAGCTGCAGGCAGAAAACATCCTGATCACAGACGGCGGGCGGCTTCAGATCGGCCAGGAGGGGGCGCCATTCCAGCACAAAGCCATCATCACACTTCATGGAAACCTGCGCTCACCTGAACTCCCCGTTTATGGAACCAAGACGCTGGCTGTCAGAGAGGGAGTGCTGGACATGCATGGTATGAACACAAACATATTCAAATAGATGAGAAGATCAATACGCTAAATGCAATGCTAAATAAACATTATTTCCCAAAATGTTAAACTATTACTTTAAACATGCTACTACATGGTCTCTGTTAACATTTACTGCGGGGCATAAAACATCAAACAGCATGTTGCTGTCAAACACTTCCCTATAGTATAATTAATGCAGGGGTGAGAAGTATAAAGTATAGTTATAGGAAAAGCTTTTACTTTTTACTCAGTATAACACAATATATTTTAGAGACAGCTGTTGTTACTCGTTATTTTGCACATTTAGCTTTTTTGATTTTATTGATTACCTCCTAAAACATTGCTCTGTGAAAAAATCCCACTGCTATTAAGTCTTTTTAGTGTCCTTGAAGTTTTTTTTTTCCTATGAAAAGTGAAAAAATCTGCCAGTGTAAATATGCAAACTTATTTTTAATGCAAATCAAACAAAAACATTTTCTGCCTTATTCTTTCTCATTTCTGTAACATCTTTAAATTTAAAATAATGTTCTTCGATACAAGATACAGAAAGAAATATAGACATTCCTTCACAAGATTGAAGTTCTTGAATATTAAACTGCCCAAAACTTAATAGTTATAATAGATAATAGATAAAATCAGCTCCACCTCAACCAACTATATAATAATCCTCTAATATAACACTATTACATTTAAATTAATACTTGTACATTTGTTACTTTAAGAAAATGTTGCTGATATAATTTCTGTACTTTTACTTCAATAAGGTTAGTAATTAAGAATTTTATTGTTATATTAATACTTTTACTTCAGTAAAGGATGAGACATCTTTCACCACTGAATTATAGTCGTCTCCGTTAAACTTCACGCAACAGCAGACTGAGATAGTCGTGACCCAAATATTAAACAAAAAACTCATCACGTCATTATGTCACAAAATGGTAAGCTGACAGAGTAATTTGAGTCATGTGTCCTGGAGGGATGTTAATATTAGTGACACCTCACCTTCAACTCCTCAGGTATAAATCATTGTTGACAACCTGTTTCTCCAGGTATTCCAGTTCCTGTCCCCTGGACCCACTTGGCCCAGACAGCGACCAGTGGCTCCTCCACAGTGACCCTGATGAAGGCAGTGACGTGGAAAGTTGGAGATGAAATCGTCATTGCTTCTACCGGCCACAGGTACAGCTAAGTCTCGAATTTATACCCGTCTATGCATAAAAAGTTATTGCCACAGTTATTGAAAATACAGTGATAACCTTGATAGCTAAGATAAGACATCTTCCCTTAACGTATAAAACGTATTATGCAATAGAATCAGCATGCAAAAATCAAACTGCAGTGTCTGCACTCTGTAAGCTGGTGACATATTCTTTGGTACAACCAATTTACCCTTTACTTTTTCCTGTTTCCTGTATGTGAAAAATCCATTTTGATGCTCCAACATAGTTAATTGAGTTTGTTATGGGGCATATATAAGGCAGTAGCTAAATAAATAGGTAAGGTAGTCACACTAAAAGGTAATTAGCTTTTATGATTTCATGTGGTTAAGCTTTTAAATCAAGCATTTAAATTAATTTAGCTCATTAAATCAAATGGGCAAGAAAGCTGAAGCATTCAGTGACCTTTATATTGATTTTTTTTAGGTTTTATGTAAAGTTAGTGACAATTATTAGTATCTAATCAGCCTAAAATCGCATAAAATTAAGGTTTTATAAATTGAACATGTTACACTGAGAGCGTTCAGGGATTGAGTACATGAACACAAAAACCTCAAACCTCACACACCTCTAGGCTGATGTGTGACAGGTTGTTTCATAACACTGTGTGTGAGGTAGAATAACCCCTGAAGAGGAAATGTGAGGATTATACCTGACATTAACCAAATCCTGTTAAGTAACCAAGTTATGTAAAGTTTAAAGTCCTTTAAAGATCCCCTCCAGACATTTAATATGACTTATACAAATAGGCTGCTTAGAACAATAATGTGATATGTTTTTTTCTGCTAAATATTTAGCATATTATACATATTTATACATACATATTACTGTGTATTATATATATATATAATATATCTCTATATATATTATAGATTGACATGGATCACACTAAGTTATGGAGCTGCTGGTAGAAATCATTAATTTCTGTTTCCAGGCACAGCCAGAGAGAGAACGAGGTGAGGAAGATCGTCACTGTGTCGGCTGATGGAAAGACTCTAACCCTGAACGAACCCCTCACGTACACTCACCTCGGGGTGACCGTCACGCTGCCTGATGGCACCGTGTTTGAGGGCCGAGCTGAGGTGGGTGTCCTCACCAGGAACATCGTGGTACGAGGTTCCCAAAACCAAGAATGGAACGACAAGATCGAAGCCTGCCCTGAAGGCTTTAACACAGGTACTGTGTTTTAGTGGATGATTTTTACACTAAATGCTGTGTTAAAGTAGAGAATAAGCTCGTTAAGATCTCTACTGTCAAGTGAAATCCCTGACAACAACTTCAGATTTACCAACATGTATTCTACATATTTTCTAGTTGGTTTAGAGAGAGCTTATTACATTATTTTTTCTTGCTGTAGACTGGTCTGTTAGTTGAACTTGTCATCCTCTCAAATGTGAAGTGGTGTTACTGCTGTGTCTTTAGGTGAAGGCTGCAACTAAACATTATTATCATTATTGATTAACCTGCTAGTCTCCCAGAGCCCGAGGTGACTAAAACCAAGCACAACAAACAAATAATCACATTTTAACATCTAGAAATTTTTGCTTTAAAATCAAGTAATTAATCACTAATTGTTTCAGCTCAACTAAACAAGCAGGGATTTGCACTGAATAGTACTGTAAGCCTTTCTGAATCAAATTAACAGTGTGCAATCTAACAAGGACACAAAACAGTATACTAAAAAAAACATGATAGGCTTGACCCCCACTGTACACTCCGAGCATCATTTGGATGCAGTATTAACCTCTTTGTGTTTCTGTGCTGTAGGTGAATTCACCACCCAAACCTGTTTCCAAGGAAGGTTTGGAGAGGAGGTCGGCAGTGATCAGTTTGGAGGCTGCATCATGTTCCACGCTCCCAGACCAAATGAGAATCTTGCAATCGGCAGACTGGAATATGTTGAGGTGAAATGCTTAAAACTTTCTGTGCTTAAACATGTTGCTTTAACTTATTCTTTACAGTTAATTATATTTTTCAGTACTCCTGTTTTTCCTGGATTGCTGCATTCTCACAATCTAATACGTTTTTAATTAAATTTTGTTTCTTAGTGTATTAAAAAGAATATAAATGATTAACTTTAAAGGCTTTATGCTTTTATGCCACAGGTCTTCCATGCAGGACAGGCCTTTAGACTGGGACGTTATCCCATCCACTGGCATCTGATGGGAGACATCAACTACAAGTCATATGTTAGGGGTTGTGCAATCCATCAGACCTTCAACAGGGCCGTAACCATCCACAACACCCACAAGCTGCTTGTGGAGCACAACGTGATCTACAACATCATGGGCGGGGCCTTCTTCATCGAAGACGGCATTGAGACGGAGAACATCCTGCAGTACAATCTGGCTGTGTTTGTCAAACAAAGCACCAGCCTGCTGAACGATGACGTCACTCCTGCCGCCTACTGGGTCACCAATGCCAACAACATCATCCGCCACAACGCCGCAGCAGGAGGCACCCACTTCGGCTTCTGGTACCGCATGCACGAGCACCCCGATGGCCCGTCCTATGACGCAAACATCTGCCAGAAGAGGGTTCCCCTGGGTGAGTTTTACAACAACACCGTGCACTCTCAGGGCTGGTTCGGCCTGTGGATCTTCCAAGACTTTTTCCCCATGCAGAATGGGCGCTGCAACTCCAAAACCCCCGAGCCTGCTGTCTTCCGCTCCCTCACCACCTGGAACTGCGAGAAAGGTGCTGAGTGGGTCAACGTGGGTGCCGTGCAGTTCAACAGCTTTGTCATGGTCAACAATGAAAAAGCCGGCATTGAAGCCAAGCGCATCATGCAGTGGGCTGTGAGCAGATTTGGAGAGGACGGAGGGGCGACGGTGTCCAACAGCACCATTGTGGGACACGTGGATGAGCTCGGACTGGGCGATAACTACTGCACGCTCCGAGGTATCATCGCGCCACTGGACGATGGCCTGAGTGTCCTTAACACCAAGTTCATCAACTTCGACCGCAGCTCTTGCGCAGCCATCGGGGTAGCTAAAATCGACGGGACGTGTGTGGATCGGTGTGGTGGCTGGGCTGTCAGGTTTAGTGGTATCCAGTACGAAAACTCACCCAACAAGGCCGGCTTGAGGTGGGAGCATGAGGTGCAGCTGGTGGACACTGATGGCTCCCTCACAGGTACGAAGTCTGTGTTTATACGTACTTCAAATAGAGCAGGCCTGGACCGTACTCATTATACACACTGTTCCAAATTACATCTCAAGCCATGTCAGGCATCACCATAATCCTTATTCTCCATCCCTGCATCCAACTAAAGTCTGTAACCCATGTTTTTTTCCTTGTTTGCAGGAGACATCAACCACAAAGTTGTGCCTATGAGCGCCTTGCTGGACCCTGATCACTGTTCCCAGAGTGGCGAGTGGAGCGTGGGTTTCCCTGGTGCTGTGTGCGACCACACCGTTGAGTTCCATCGTGTGTCATTCAACAATCCCACGCCAACCTCTCTGTTGGCCAAGGATGTCATCTTAACCAACTCACATGGTATTAAAATACAGACTTTTTGAATGTAATCTGTAACCTTTACTGATCTCTACTGGTGATTAGTGGGAAATGCCAGACAAACAGCCAAAAACTCAGCATGAATAATGCATTAATATTGATCAAAAATAACATGTAACACAAACAATGTGTTCAATTGCATAAAATGGAGGCATGACAAAGGATAAAAACAACAGAAGTTAGTAAACATACACTGTAACATTACAGGCTTAAATGAAAGATGTGACATGGCGATTTAATTCTGTTACTCATTTTACAAATAATAATTAGGATCACAGATACTTTTTAGGTATTTTTTTACAATTTGTAATATCTCATTCTAATTAATATAATTTCATAAAATATATGGTAACACTGTACTTGAACCCCCTATTTAGCATTTTTAAGCAGTGTATAAACATTTAATAAATTGTTTAAAACACACTGTAATTTTGTTGTAAGAAAAATTAAGTGTTTATTTATAGGGGTGCACGATATGGATAGTAGTTGTGCATCCTTATTTATTTATGTATCTCCTGTGGATACCCATAAGCTGCAAGAAGCTGATGTATAAACAATTAATAAATGACAATATAGTAAAAAGAAAACCTGTAAATACTTTTAATAAAGTTTTAAAATTTTCCGATATTGTCTTTTAACAAAAAAAAGTGTTACCAAATATATTAACATATCTGCTGTAATATAAACCTTCCTTGTCTGTGATTTATATTGTTAGTGTTGCTTTTAATTGCACTGTCACAGGCTCCAGTGCGGTTCCCTATTTGAAGAAGAGAATGACTCATAAGTATGGCTGGATGGCCATGCTACCCTCCGGACAGACCTACAACTGGTACTTTGCCAACATGGACCACGTCACCAACATCACATATGATGCTAAATTCTACGGCTTCAAGGTAAACGAGAGATTCATCACATCGTAGTATAATATAAGCAAATAATAATGATAATGAACACTTTGAAACCAGCTTTCTGGCTATTTGCACTGTCTTGTGTTTTTCACCCCCACACAGCCAGATCAATATGTGATCATCAACCACAACTTAACCCAGAGTCCAGACAGATTCCGCATCATCGATGAGAGGAACGGCTCGGTGACGCCGCTGAGCTTCAGCAATAACAATAACGGAGACTGGTACTTCGACAACAGCACCAACAACCTCTACTACATCAGTAAGACACACTCTAATATGCGTCTATTGATTTTAATGCTCATTTTTATGATTGATTAATCCTGTTGTCAAAGTTGTTCATTGAGCAAAAATGCCTGATTGAAGCTTCTCAAATGTGAGGATTTGCTGTTTTTCTCCGTTTTTATTAGTGAATTAGAACTTCTTTGGGTTTTGGACTGTTGGTCAGACAAAACAAGAACTAATGATGGGCAATTTTCACTATTATTTTGTCATTTTATAAACAAAAAAAATAACAGATTAAAAATAAATGACTTTGTGATTTGGCATCATGACTGTTGACTGTATATGACACAATCAGGGAGTTTTTCTTTAAAAAGTGGAAACTGTTTAATCTGATATACATTTTTTGTCTTTTTTTTACATTATATACAGTATAATGCTTAAAATAAATTAACATAAACACTAGTTAAACCTGTCTCATTATCACCATTATTGTTTATTAGCCACATCTTAAATCACAGTAATTGATTAATTCATTCGTTTGACATTGTTCTGTGTCTGCAGTTTCTGGGAAGACCAACCAGCGGCGGCGGCGTGCCAGCGTTGACCGCTCCATGACTGACTCTGAGGTGAACTTGAGGGTCTACCGCTGCTTCTACACCGACTGCCTCACACCGACGCCACCGCCTCCAGCCACACTCGCCCCCTTGCCCTCCGGCCGACCTGAGGACTTCATGTACGTTTAACCCCCACTGCCACATGTTATCCATGACCAGAAAACTAATTCAAACTCACAAGCTATAGTAACTTCAGCTCATGTGATTCCGCCACTTACTCTCTTACTCACATACAACTACGATGTAAAGAAGAAATGTACTCATTAAGCTGAATGGCTCATTTCACAGTGTTACAACGTTAAATATATTATAGGGTTATTATTACTGATTCATTAACGTGTAAGCAGCATTTTTGTAGTGTGTGGTTTTAAATGCTTTATTATTTGTTGGGTAGTTAAATCTGCTAAAAAAAAAAAAAACTCCAAACTTATAAAACATATCTGCCTATAAATACATTTTAGGCCTTCTTTTGCAGCATGGACTAAATATTTCAACCTGTTAATTTAAATGTTTCAAAAATGTTCCAGAAATGATCGGCAGTGTCGGCAGGTCGTGGGACTAAAACTACTACCACTACTACTTTTTATAGAAAATAAAACTTAAAGTCTAGATTAAATTGGCTTAATAAGAGGGAGATTTGTTTCACTGCAACAGTAAATATAGTTTTAAAAGCAGCATATTGACATGTTTTGTATTGAAAATAATCAGGAAAATATGAAAAGTAACCAGAATCTACAGTTGTCAGAAAGTGTGGTAAAAAGTACAATATTCTTCTCTGAAATGTTGTGTAGTGCTTTTATACAAACTTTATTATCTATTAAAAACATACATAGAACCCAACTACTAACTCAACCTCTTAAACACAGTCAGTGTTGATTTGAAGTGGGTTACTACTAGACAAAAGAGAAGTCACAAGATATTTGAATAGTTATTTTGTTGACTCTGGTTTATCCTTCCTAAAGTTAAAATGTCCTTTTTTGTGTGTGTGTTTCTCTGCAGTTCGTGGTCTAATGCCTCGTTCTGGACAAGTTCAGCTGAAAATAACTTCACTGCGCCAAAAGAGGGCGCTGATGTGGTCATCCCATCAGGTAATATCTGAGAAAAACACAAAAAATAATGAATAAACCAAAGAAAAGACAACTGATGGGAACATTTTCATCATGCATCTTCTCTTACATATGAGTTTTTCCACTTTATGTCTGATTCCTTCACTATAAGATGAGAAAACAATTTGATTATAAAAGGATATTCAGTTTGAACTGGACTTTATGGCAATATACTGTTGTTATAATACCTTTGTGTCACCGTCAAACCACAGGAAAGTGGGTCATTTTGGACAGCAACACTCCGCCCCTCAACAAGCTGACTATCATTGGAGTCCTAGAGATCCCCGACATCAACGTCACATCCAGCAGACAGGCTCGGGCTGCAGCTGAATACAGGACTGTGGTGATAGACGCTGTCTACATCTCCATCCAGGTTAGTGCAATCAAAAATCTCTCTGATTTCTATGATTATCCAGATTATCACTTTAAAATAATTCACGTTGGTGCCGGTTAGCTCCGTGGGTAGAGCTGGCGACCCGTGTACCGAGGCTCAGCCCTTGCTGCAGCGGCCCAGGGTTCGAATCCGACCTGTGGCCCTTTGCTGCGTGTCATCCCCTCTCTCTCTGCCCCCCTTTCCTGTCTGTCTTCAG